CGGTGGGTTCATTAGCGGTGGAAAAAGTCGAAAATTATTAGAAATTTCTTTAGCAATTATAAACAACATGATTACACATACGACTAGTAGGACCTCGTTTTAATGAGTGCTTGGACTCTTAAGGTGATCTTAATAAGTCAATGAGATTTTTATGTTTCAAATTTCAAGCAAATCTAACCATAATTATTTTTCCCTCAGACAGATCGATTCCAAATGAAAAAGTTTACACTGCATTGACTTGCACTGACACAGGGCCACCTTTTTCTACCAATTAAGCGAAACCTGTCCACTTATCGAAAGACAAAAATTCATATATTAGTTTCGGCCTGGTCCCAAATCCAATTCCAATATCTGCAGATTTTGCTTATTTAATCCTTTGAAATAGTGCGCCGCACTTTTCTGAAAGAAATTATGTGAAATTTGTGGCACAGTATGCTCTACTGAATGTCAGTATCGGCGTTAGCATTCGCGCCCAATCACTCCCGATGAAAACAAAATGAAGGCGTAAATCAAAGCTCAACAATGTATGATAAATCCAGAGGAAACGTAGAAGCTCGACAAAACGAGTTTAACAGTTTACTTGCAGTTATAATCATAATGGGTTATTACATTTTTTTTTTCTTTTTTTGCAACTCCTCAAATGAATATTCTTGAACCTTCCTTCCTTTTTCTAATGACACTGAGGTCAGTTTAAAGCTCAAAATTGGTTATTTATACAAAAAAAGAAAAATTATTAACATAATTTTATGGAGCACCAGAAGTAAAGTCTAGCTTAATATTAAGAAATGCTTTCATGCGACTTTTCGTGATCCCAATTCATGTTGCTTTTCTCAAAGTTAAATGTTTTTCAGTTCGAGTTCGAGTTCGAGTTGTTTTCGACTCTAGTTTTTCGTTTCTTAGTCACATAAGTTACATGCTTCCAAAGTCTTATGCGAATTTAGTATTTTTGCGGCATTATGAAAGGACTTAAGAGATACTTTTCATCGGTAAATTTTGGACTACTCCTAAATTCGTTCAGAGCTTTAATATGGGTAATATGGCTCTATATATAAATCACTTTTGTGGACGATCTTTATTAGGTGACCATCAGATTAAATAGTCTTTATTTTAGTGGGTAGAAACTGGTAAAACTAATTTTTAACTGTCTGATCGGACTCGAAAGTTTAACATTCCACTGATTTCGAATTGAGTGAAGCAAACAATTATTTGAATTGATAATTGTTTACGGATTATTCAAACTGTACGAGATCCTGGGTTATCGTAATAAAACGCCTTTGCCATTATCCAGTTGATTCAGTTGATTGCTGAACGTGGACAGAAGAGGAAATAGCATAACTTGCTTTAGATGGTTAATGACTTTGGATATTGAGAGGTATAATTCTTCTTATTCCATGCTCTTTGAATATGCTGTTGTGATTCTTCCTTTACTAGAACCTTTCTGACTAGATGTACAAAATTTAGTTAATGCTAGAGTTAACTGACTAGAAAGCAAGATAAACTAAAGAATGATGAAAACTTATATTACATTGAAGAATATATCTTGGTATGGCGAAATCTAGTCAAGAGATTTATAAGTAAATTTCAACTCAGTGGCTCACGAGTCATTCTCGACTGTTACAAAAAATTCTTTTGCCTGCCTTTTTTGTTAAAATTTACTGTTGCTGCGTGCAAATAGATGTTGCTGAAATAATTTTCCTTTTAGAGAAAGAAAAAGTATGTTGTGCCTCTTTTTCTTCTTATTCTTTCTCTTCCATACTAATGAGAGGCGTCTTCCTTTTTCTCTGCTTCCACCAGCGGTTACTTCTTCGAAAACTTTCACAGCTGAAGTATCCGTGTCCATTCGGACCATGTGACATAGCCAACGTAGCCACTGTCTTTTGATTCATTGAACTATATCAATGTCGCCGTATAACTCATATAGCTCACCATTCCATCGGCTGCGGTATTCGTCGTTACTAGCACGTAGAGTAGCATAAACCTTACGCGAAAACTTTCTCTCGAAAACTTCTAACGTAGACTCATGAGACGCTTTCATCGTCCAAGCCTCCGCAACATATAATAGGTCGAGTATAATGAGCGCCTTGTAGAGTTTGCTGTTGGTTCGTCGAGAAAGGACTTTACTTTTCGCTCGCCTACTCAGTCCAAATCAGCACCGGTTGGCAAAAATGATTCTGTAGTTTTTAGGCTGGCATTGTTGTTGGCGTTAATACTGGTTCCAAGATAAAAGAAATTATCTACGACTTCAAAGTTATGACTGTCTAAAGTGACGTGGGATCCGAGTCTCAAATGAGATGACTGTTTGTTTGATGACTGGAGATATTTCGTCTTGCCCTCGTTCCCCACCAGACCCATATCCTTCGGTTCCGTATCTAGTCTGGAGAGAGTAGTGCTCACAATGGCGTTGTTGAGGCCAATAATGTTTACAGCTGTATGCGTACGGGGATGATACGCAAGCAACTGTAAACTCTTATAGAAAGTTGTACCTTCTGAGCAGTGAATTTAGAAAATCATATGATAAGTAATCATCTTGCCTGAACAGCTCGGAGGGGATCTCATCAAAAGCGTTGTTGAACTTTGGATCTGGTTGCTACGTGGCGTGTGCCAATCTTCGTTAGCGAGTAAGCTAAAAATGTTTACATATTTATATAGCGAACCGCTTGCTTCGAGACCGACGCCCACTCGCAGCCGCACCTCTGATGGAGAGACGCTGCAATGACTTCAGTGGGCCCTTAAACCGAGGAACAGGTCGGAGTGGCGCCACTGAAACTTCATCTCTCATTAGCCGTGATCCAAGGTTACACACGTGTTGGTTACCGTATCTTGCACAAGATTTTTTAACGTTTCTGGCGTGCGCGATGTGAAAGCAAGAGCAGGAAGTTAGTATAGCCCTGCTACTGTAACTGTATATCCAGAAGCTTGACTATAACTCATTGCACTCCCTATTGTATTGCTTTCCATACGGCAGACTTTTAGTTGAATTAAGTTTTACTAATATTTAAGAACTCAAAAATTTATATTAATTACTCACAACCCTGCACACTGTTAAGCAAATGAACTCACAAAAAAAAGGACAAGACAAAATGAAAAAAAAAAAACAACTTTGACATTTTGACCCACCATTGGCAGCAGCGGGCGTTCCGAGCAGGTAATGAATGGAAAATGAGTATAAAAAATCAGTAATGAATAACGCAACATCTAAAGCAAGCTGACTGCAACTGACTAACTGACTGCGGCAGAGCAGCGTCATCATTTTGATGCGCCACTCCGATTAGGACTGATTTAAATATATTTAAATGCAATTATGCGATTTATTTTCTGAAATAGGCAGCAGCAAAGTAATTGTGATTAATTTAGAGAAAAAACGGAAAACTAATTATAGAAAAATATGCACACATAAACATTTACATTTAAATGCAGTAAATTGAAGAAAAAATGTAAAAAGCAAACGGAAATTTCCGCCAACTTGCAGGGTCGCCTAATAAATATGCGCGATTAATTGCTATTGACAATAGCGTATTTCTCTAGTATTTACAATACCAGTAATGTGGAAATTAATCACGTTTTCATCATTTCATAAATATTATTATTATTATTATGGGCGAATGACAAGTGCAATTACAATAAATTCATAAGTAATTTCTTTAAAATGTACAAAAAATAAAATTAAACGCTTATGTAGTGTACATACATACATCAAGTGTTAATATGTGTAAATATGAAAAAAGTGTGATCTCGCTTTTACCGATCCATCACAAGAAACGCCACATCACATCGCAACTGACAGCTCATCAAGTTAAGGTTGAACATGCGCAGCCGCGCACAAACAAAATTAAACAACACAAACAATAAAACTGTAAAATACTGTTAGATATACAGGGCAATGGGTGAAAAATATGTACGAGCGCATGTGTACATGTGTGGATATTTGGTTTTGCGCACCGGTCGCTAACACTCGCCCAATGGCACCACAAACACCTATCCACCAAGCCAGCGAGTCGGCGAGTCACGGAGGAAGCAAATCACCGCAAAACCTCACGTCGGCCTTAGGTGTGCACATCCGCAGACCAAAAATTCAACTCAATAAATCTTGAAAACATGCTGAAAAAGCGTCAAGCGCAACGACAAAGTGTTGAGTTACAATGCTCTAACGCAGGCGCAGGCTGAAGACAAATTTCAAAGGCACAGCTAAAAGCTAAATTACAAGAAAAACATTAAAACCGAAATAGAAACAAAACAAAAGACTTAAAAAAAAATAAAAACAAAAATTTAAAAAGCTGAAATCACTTTATACTTGCACTTTTGTTCACCGCAGCAGCGCAGCTGGCGTCGTCGCCACTGCACTGCACATTGTTGCTGCTGCTCTCTTTGCCGGCAAAACTGCATAACAACATTTGCTCAACATCTTTTCTATTATCAATTCTTTACTGTAGTTTTGTAATTGTTGTTGTTGTTGCAATTGACAACAAATTACTCTTGCTGCTTCTAGCCCATCCCGCCAGCATAGCTTACATTGCTCACCTTTAGCAGTACGCCTGCCTGCAGCTACAGCGCCGGCAGTGGAGGAGAGCAGCTGCACTGTAGCTACAACACCGCGAAATACCAACACCAACGCCACCAGCATCATCGTCATCATCATTATCATCAACATCACCATTATCTCAATTTTCTGTGAGCACAATAGTTGCCACCTCTGTTATTATTGTTGCTGTTGCTATTTTTATTGATGTTACCTGCATTGGCTGCTGTCATTGCAAAAGCAAAACTTCAATATCCAACTTCTTACCTCTCCTTACAAGCAAACACAATCCAAACTCATAGTTGTGTGTGTGTATTGTATATAAGTATGTATGTAAGTACTAACATTTATAAGTATGTAAATCTAACACGGTTAGTTTAACTTATCTCCGCTCAAACACAAAAACTCAAACTCAGCTCATCCCGGTTGCATCTCATCTCGTGTATCTCGTGTGCGCGCGTGCATATAAATATCGCCACCAGCTAGCTATGAGATCATTAACAAAGCATTTGTGCAATTAACCACAACCCAAAAAGTAGGGTTCTTGCACCGTTAGACAACCAGTTGCCAGTTACAAGCAAATAGCCAAGGCCGAAGGATATACATACAACATACACACAGTGTTCAAGTGTTGAGTAAAAACTTGTGAAAAAAAAATGAAAATTGTAAGTGTATTTCAATAAAAAAAAAAAATATGTGCAATTTTGAAAAATCGTATTGAAGTGAATATAATAAATATTTTATTAAAACACCATATAATATAATTGGTGTGGAAAATCTGGAAAAAGATATAATGACAAATAACATAAATAACTTTTTTAAAAACTCTGAAGTCCTTTTCTGAAACTCCTGTGAAATCTATCACCGATCTTACACACATTTTATTTTCTAAAAAGTCGTGCGGCAAACTTTGGAAAATTATATCGTGAAATAGATGAAATGGAAGCAAACAAAATAGAATTATTTTTCCACAAGACTTGCTTGTGGTGTTAAAATATATTTTTACGCTCTTTTGTAAAACGTAAAATATCTTAAGATATAAAACTAACTACATTTTCATAATTTCATAAATTTTTTACATCGACCTTATTTTATTTAGTTTCCTTAACAAGTTATGCCTTTGCTACCTTTTTGAAGAAATATTTTTTTATTTTGTTATATACTGCGATATGCGATAGTATTTTATGAATATCAAAAGGTAAACAATCCTGTTACCAAAAGCTTCGTATTTCAAATTTAAAGAAAAAAAAAATTAAAAATAAAAATTATATATATAAAATATAAATCATCGTGCTAGTATCCCTTTTCTTCGTTTCCATTAATGCCTTTCGGCGAATCGAGTATTAAAAATCAAACTACTGCCTTTCAATTTTTATAATTTGATAGGGCAGTGAGATTTTTCCAAAAGAAATCTACTAGCGAATACAAAGACCAATTTTCGAGTAACCTTTTAAAGTTTTATAATCGAAAAGAATCTCTCGAATTAATAAAGGCTTCATCCGTTATAAGCTCAGGAAACTGGTGTCTTAAAAAATGCCTTCTTTTAATTTTGCGTATCTCAATCCCAAAAAATAATTTATTATATATATTATATTTAATACGCATTACAATATTATTGCTGAAGCGATTTTCGGCCGAGCTCCTGCTCCAATTTGTGATTTTGCGTCTTTATGTTTTTCCGACAAATGGATGCACCTATAGTTCATACTAAGCAGGCTCCACACGGCTGTTAGGTTTTTTATAAGTAGCTACATTTCATGTCCAAAATACACTCAGAGGGATGGACATTCCCTGCCAAGGGGCGACCGCAATTAGAAAATTAGGCTTAATTTTTTATTTAAATTAATTTTTTAATAACTTTAAACCCGAGCCTTCCGCCTGGCAACACGCAATACTAACCACTCGGCTACCCCGGCCGCCAGGCATCGTACTAATTAATATTACCGTAGCTGTATAAAATTAAAGATAATCATCAACATACAGAAATATATTAGAAAAAAAAATTTAAAACAAAAAAGGAATTATTCCTGAAAAAATAATAAATTTTTTTAAGTTAATTTTCTTTAGACAAAAATATTCATCGCATTTATGCATGCTCGATTAAAAATCACTTCTCTATATTAATATATATTCAGGCAATCTAAGTGAGAAATTTAAAAAAAATCGACCTAAAACAGGTACAGACTAAATCAGCAACAGATAAAATCTCGATTATAAGACATTATTATATTTATAGAAATATGTGTATATAAAAGAAATTCATCCGAAAAATTCAGGAAAATCACAGAAGCTTTTCTAAAAATCGTTTTTGGTACCAAAAAACCGTAATGCATTCTATTTTAGGGTAGTAGTCTAGTGTAAAAAAAAATAAAATAAACTGTTGGAATTTTATTTTTTTCAATTTTGTTATTAAAAGTATCTCAGAGTGTACAAAAAATTATTTTTGCATTTTTTTAAATTTGTTGTTCCGTAGCACTGTTGGTCGCTTGAAAACATCTGAAATAGAAAATTTAAAAAGATTATTGTACTGTGAGCTTGTCATACTTGTTCGAACTAGGATTAAACAATTTCGTTGAAAAATAAAAAAATATATTTGACTGACATTACATTAAATGTAAATTGGTCTGCAAAATGAAAAGTTAGCCATAAAATAAGACCGTAGTTCCTGTCAGAGCTACTGAAGAGTAGAATATTCAAAAGAAAAATGCCCTTAAAGTTCAAACTCCGCGCTCGCCACAATATCCGAGTGGTTCGCCTTCGAGTCCATTTTTGCCCAAATTGATTAAAATTTATTTTTCTAATAGCGGTCGTGTATTTAATAACATGAAATTAAAGTTTCTCATAAAAATTCTTCGGCGGTTTGGAGGCGGTAGACTTTAGGTCTCTACAAATTCACTTACAAAACCATGAGGATACATACCACGAATTGGTGGAGGATATCGGCCGAAAATTAATATATACTAATCTAAAAAGATGTAGATTTTTCCAAACCAAGCTACCAAACTAAAAATGATAAAAATAATTTTTTTTTATTATATCAAAAACTTTTTGAGATTTTTTTCGAGGTTTCTTATCTGTACTACGTCAGTGTCATTTCTCAATTGTTTGGTGCCTCGATTTTGTATATCGAGATTTTGTTTGTGGCGTTTCCATTGCGATTTTCCTCAGGCGAGCTCCTCCTTCAATTAGGGTACCTAAGATATATGTATTCCAAGTCACCTCTGAGCGACTGTTGAAAATTTTTCAAGGAGCTTTCATTCCGTCATAAGCCCCATTATATCACTACCAAGATTATATGGTAATACAAATCTTTAATATAATAATAATTTTTTGCTTTTAAACTTTTTTTGGACATCAAATCATCACACGAACACCGAAAATTGTGCGCTGGAATACAAATAAAGCAGAAAAGCTCGCAGTTTAGAAAAACATAAAAAATATTAGGTGGTATTAACATTATTACGGTTATAAACCCTTCCACTAAAGTAAATATTTTGTTGCATAATAGATACTAAAAGCGAAAAGGTGTTTCGAATTTTTTTTTTACTTTTATTAACTTTCTGTACATACATACATATGTATACGAGCTCATACAGAAAAGTCAATTGCTCAATGAAGTAGATAAAAAAAATCCTAACACAAAGGAAATATCGAAATAAAAAAACAAACTAAAGTGTCTTACGAAAATATAGAAATTTATGAACTATGGTCACGAACGCCCACAGCTGAGGCGAAAAACTAAATTTATAGCCACAACATGGTCTGCACCAAAAACAACGTCAAAATATATCTACATCTATATTTATACTTATATATGCATGTATATTTACTAGTAGTAATTTTTTTTTTGCCATCAAAAAATAAGAGAGCAACATAATAATGAGGGAGTGACTTTTTAAAAACATATAAATTATCAAAACCAGCTGCCAGTTAAGCAATTAAAATGAAATTAACAAAATTGTTTGGCTTCAACCATTTAAAATGTACTTAAGTCATATTAAAACAATCGGCAATGCAATAGAATACCAAAGAAAATAAGCACAGATAATATAGAAGACAAAATAGAAGAAGCTGCCACGACCTCGCCAGAGGACAAAGCGAACAGAGTCACTCAGCACATTGCGAGACAACAATTAAATGTTGTTCAATTATCTGATTTGCAATGTTTAAGGAGCGGTGTGGGCGCCTGGACCACATTGCTGTGTCAGCAAAGCAAGCGAGCAAGCAAGCAGTACGCTATTTGGCATATACTTAATATGTATTTATGTATGTTTGTGGTATGTGAAAAGGTCAAATGCCGCTGAAAAATAGCAGAGGCGACCAAAGTGTTTGATAGCGTTGCAATGGCAGTCAGGTAGACAGACACAACGATGTTGCCCTGTATGGGTGCCACAGAAATTTTGTCACAATTTTCCAGCTAAAAATAGCATTCAACGCGAAACCAAAAAAAACAATAAATGAATAATAACAATGCAACAGCAGCCTGCTGATTGGAAGAGTCAACACTTGAGCTTCAGTTGCTTGGCTGCTGTGTGTTTACTACCTGAGTAGCAGCATGGCCGAAGATGGCGCAGAATAGATCAAAGCAAGCTGGTCTCGCAGAAAATATACACACATACCCCTAACCAGCTGTGTTGCATTCGTGAAATATCAAATCAGACATGTTGTGAGGGATTCAAAAGAAAAAAACTTATAGATTACATAATAATATAAATATATAACATTACATAGCACAAGCCATAGTTTTTATACCCTCACTGAAATTAGTGGATTATTTTTTTGTTCCAAAACTCTAAATTACCTTTACGAAAAATCAGTTTTATGATGCGAAATCGTGCAGAATACATAAATTTTAGATTCTCAACTGCTTCATTGTCAGCACTTTTAACCCAAAACGCGTTTTCGAAAATTAAGTTTCATTGAAGATCTATTTGGTATTACATCGATCGAACTTGATTATTTTTCACTGTGTAATATTCTAATTATGATACTTTTACAGAATACCAAATTTTATTTTCTCAACCTCAATAATTTTCTTAGTTTTGACCCAAAAACGTGTTTTTGAAAATAAAATTATATAGCAAGGAGTTTTATTTGTTGTGCAATGTTTGCCATGGTAATCTCTGTCAATAGCCTGCCTGTGATATTTAGAAAAAATATCGAATTTTACATTTCTAGCTCGATATATGTTAGAGTTTTGAACCAAAAACTCATTTTTGAACAGTCACTTATATGGAGACTATAGTTAATAGCAGATCGATTTCGATGATATTCAATTTGTATAAACTTCCAATAGCAGTCGTGCCCTTACGAAATGTTATTTGCTGAAATGTAAATATTTCTGAGAGTTTTGAAACAATAACGTGTTTTTGAACAGTCACTTATATGGGGACTATACTACATAGTAGATCGATTTCGATTATATTCAATGGTTATAAAGTCCATATGTTAGTGCTTCATTTGAAATATTTTATTTGCTCAAATGACAATATTTTTGAAAGTTTTGAGACCAAAACGTGTTTTTGAAATATTAGTTGTATGGAGAACATAGCTCAGAATTGACGACTTTTATTGCCAATAGGGTATTATTTCAACAAACCAAGTTTATGAAATTTTTAGGCAACCTATGTTTCGAAATATCAACTCGAAAATTCGTTTTTGAAATCTTAGTTTGAGTAGATTGCAGTGGGTGATCCTCACCAGCCATATTTTAGATATAAGATTATATTTCATCTTTTTAGCAACTTCAATGTGAAGGTTTTGGCACAAAAACGTATTTTTGAAAATTCAGTTTTATGTCGGTTATATGTTTTATGGAACGAACGCGTCGATTTTCACTGCCAATAAACTGCTTATAGTCTGCATAAATTCAAATGTGTATAAAATTTGAAATAAAAATATATGCATAGCAAGGCGTCGACCGTCATTGCTTTTGCAACGCCACCACATATGCCGGACCTTTTTTGTGGGTGCAGCGTCTGTCAATAAAAAACAATACTCTTGCAGTATCTTTGTGATTAGCGCAAAACAAAGATTGAAAAATATCAACTTTTTTTACTTGCCTTCGGTTGGGCAGCTCAACAGAAAATACTGCAGACACGCGGCCGACAGCTTGCCTGCCATATATTTAATTTATGCATTTTGTGTAAAATAAAATTTCGAAATAATTTAATTTCAAAACAAATCTGAAAATGGAAAAGAATATACGAAAAATATTACAAAGAATATGCACGCAAGCCGCTATCAGAAAACGCACAAAAAAACACTTCTCTAGCCTTTAGACCTTTTCGAGTTGCTTCAGATGCATATATTTTGAAAATGAGGTCCGCATGAGCATGACATAAGCAATGAGGTACTGAAAGAAAAGAACGTCAACAGATGACACAAAGTATTATAAAAACCGTTAAATATTGCATGCGCATAATTTACTCATAATTAAAAATTCAAATATGCAAAACTGGATAATTTACAGAAACTCCTACTTCAACTGCAATATAATACATATAAACATATAAACATGCATTGTACATATGGATATGAGTGCATAAGTATACATTTGCAGTAAAAATTCTTTGTTTTTTTTTTGGTGAAGAAATATAAGAGTCTAAAATTAGAAAAAAAATTTGTTTACTCCCTTACAAAAAAAAAACTATAATTTTAAAAAAACTAGCAGCAGCAACAAAAATCAACAGCAAATGAAACTGCAAACAAATTGCTATAATTAAGTGCATTAAGCGCATTGTTTGTGTGCCTCGCCATGAATGCCGGCAAATAAACAATTGAATTTGTTTGCGTGGAAAAACAAAAACAAAAAATAGAAATAAATAAAAATCCACTTCAGCGCTCGTACTCATTTCAAGTACTCAATTGCCTGTTATATATATATATATAATACCTTTGCTTATATGTATGTATATATTGTATGCATGTATGTTAGTGCGCCACAAATATTGTTCATAAATAAAGGTGTTCATTTCGAACATGGCGGCATCGCAATGAGCTGTCAAGTCGATGGTGATTTGAGTAGTTGTAATTGTTGGTTGGCGTTGGCACTTAAATAAATCAATGTTTGCAACTGTATTACGAAAACAACAACCAACAGCAGTAACTAACAACCAGACAATTGCAATAGGAAAATTTGTGGCAGATAAATAAGATTTTTGATTAACTATTGAGTTGTTCAAGTGATGATTGTGTAATGATTAGTTGGTTTGGCGGCGATTTGTTAGGTCATCGTATGTGGAAGGGTGGCGAATGTGTTCAATTACCGTTATATGCATTTAGAAATGCCCAGAGAGGAAATGCAATTTTATATTAAATTAATTTGGCTATTACTACGGCTACAGCGAGAAAGCCAAATTAAATATACAAGAGGCGACTGTTAAACTCGCATCCTAAATTACTTAATGAAACAAATATTAAGTTGTATATTTTTTTATATTTCAATATACATAGTCTCCCTCAAGTGAAATTCACTTTTCTCATCGTGTATACGATGCCTTTATAGTACCTCTGAAGAAATATTCTTTAGGTTTCACTTCAAAATAATATCCCACGGTCGCTTTCATCCCACCGTAGTCTGAAAACCCTCGTGCCTTTTCTTTAAAATTCAAGGAATTTTAAATTATTAATTTAAAATATTTTTTAAATTTAAAAACATGACGAATTTCACAAAAAACCAGATCCGGATTTCTATCCAGCATTTTTTAAGGCATCCCTCGCCCTTGCGCCTGACTCAACAAATTAGCGTAATACAAGCTGTTCATTGTTGTTTCCTCCGGCTAGTTATCAATTAATAATATTCCCTCGCTATTCCAAAAAATGCAACCTCTAATCTTTGATGCCGACTTTTTTTTGGTGGCCTTCCTCCTTCTTTTATTCAGTACATCGACTCCTGTTCGGATATTTTGCTATTCCTCCAAATAGAAGTGTGATGAATGTGTTGTGGACAAAGACAGAGAGGTGGAAGGTGGTAGGTTGGTAGGTAAGAATGCAACTCAAAAAGCTTTCCCTAGATGTAAGTCTGCATATACTTTTCCTGGACCTATTTAATAAGTCTTTAATTGGGCCATTTCTGCTTCGTTGATTTGCGATTGTTTATGGAAAACCATCTGATCTGATAAGCTATATGCACGAAAGGTGAATAAACTTCTCTCTTGCTCGTTCCTAGGGGACATTGTACATATAGCCTTGGATGCGTCTAGAGAGGCTTCTGACTGGGAATTAATTTTTGGCGACAACAAGACCAGCAGTCCAGCTTGGCAATGTGTATGGTAGCTTTCTGTACTCACCTACTCTATACTTAGTACTTCTGCTTGGATGAGAGAGAGAGAGAGAAAGAGGGATCTGTACGCAGTACTGCATCCTATTTCCTAATAAGCGTTCAATGGGTTCCAGGACAGAAAGATTTTTTAGTTAACAATAAAACATACGACCCAGGCACTTTTGATTAGATCCAGATAAAGACATAACGCATATGCCATATATTAAAAATATTATTGAATATTGCCTGAAACAATGCCTGGCTTACTCAGTAAGCCATAAAGCGTTACCGCAATTAAATATGGGCCGCGCCTGACGAATATAGAAACTTTAAATAAAAAGAAGCTCTAAAAGCTTAATGTCTAAGTAACATGTCAGTAGACGAGAGATACCTTACAACGTTTATTGTAGCAACTGCCAGAGAGTAGCAGAAAAGGAGGCTATAAAACATTTTGACGTGGGTGGGAAGATTCACGACTACCGGTCATGACTTTCTTGCACATAAAACTGTTCAAATGACTTAATTCCATCAAGAGCACAAGGTGATTCAGTAAGGAAATAGTATAAAGTGAGAGGAATTCGAAATTTGTCCTCCTAAAGACAAAGCGCACAGAGAAAAAGTATGTTCTCATATGTGTAATCACAAGTAGGTATCAGTTATTTGCTTAGTCTATGATTAACGAGTATCAGATATTATGAAACGCCAGCTCTGGAATCCATTTATGAGAAAATGCTGAACTTGAATTGGTGATGATTTTGTGTTTTTCCCAATTTAAGTCAAATAGCTTGAAATTTATAAAATTATTAACAAGTTTTAGATATTTGTAGAGATATCTCTTCAATAATTTAAGCCTCAACATCAAAGCACTGAAATGGTGTAATGAAAATAGGAAAATCTTCAAAAATTTACAGGAAGGAATTCAGGCTGACAAGGTAATTAATACTCAATCGGGCGAAACCAAATTCTACCTAATTGTTCTCTAACAAATATATATATAGACAAAAGACAAAATCATTGGTTGCGGTAACCGTAGTGATATTCATATTTACACCAAATGGGGATAGAGCCAGGCAGATAGGGCTCTTCTATGCCAAATTTCATTCTTAAGGTATAATTGAGTGCATAAGAGAGGTGATAAAACACAAGAAAATTCCAAAGCTCAAGCCAGAAAAATGTATTGAAAGGCATATTCATTAAAAAGAAGCAAATGTGGACTGCTTCTTCATTTCATTTTAATTATCAAAAGTTGCTTCGATTGATTTTTTCCAATTATGCTAATTTCTGGTGTGTTTTCATTGGTATTAGTTTAACCAATAACTATGGAAAAGGCTACATCACCTCGTGGAGAATTGTTGCCGTAATTGCAACACCAGTTATCCACTCACTTTCATTAATTCAATTAAGACGCCTAATTAAAGAAGAACTGCAATTACATTTGTATATTTTCTGCTACACGCTAGCATGGGAAATTAAACTCAAATAAGACTATACTAAAACATCACTATACCGAACGTTTTCAATACAAATTTTTACAAATCAAAATGTTACTTAACTTTAAAAATTTTTTCTTCAAATCACAATTGAATCTTTTCTTTTTCATTATTATTATAAATGGTTATTATTACAATTAATTTTTAAATCATATATTTGATTTTTATTAATTGGAGTTTAAATATGCTCTATACTTCCTCATATATATATATATATATATATATTTATATAATAACCCAAATCGAATTTGCCGTTTTCTATTTTCAGCAAATTGCTCTAGTTTTGATCGCCTGCACTGTGTCCGCAGTATTTGCCGCACCACAAGCACAGGGTGAACCGATTGCAATTATTAGTCAAGAATCGAATATTGAACCAGATGGTTCATACAATTACAAGTGAGTAAGGAAACTAAAATTCGTTGCATATTCTTTGGCGTTAACAGTTTGTACAGACCTGAGAAATAAACGAAAGACTTAAGCAGCAAACCTGCTCTAGTGTCAATTGTTCGATGATGAGAAAACGAAGCAATTATTATTATTGGTTATATAATTATATATTTGAAAATTTATTATAAATTCACTTTATATATATTAATTTTTTATTCATAAATTTAATTATTTATTAATCTGCTGTTTAATTTTATCAGTTATCCATGAATATGTTTATTTATTTATTTATATTTTCAAATCCGCATTTATTTATTTACTTATTTACTATTTATTTTTAATTAATTTACAAATAAAGATATTCCTTTATATTTTATTACAAATTAAATTATACATTTATTTATATATTTAGTTCTTATTTATTGATTTAAACATTCATTTTTTTATTTATCTTTTTTTAAAATTAACTCTTTATTTATTTATTTATTTAAAAAGCTAAATATTAAGTTTCTTTGTCTAATTAACTATTTAATATTTTATTTATTAATTTATTTATTTATACATATTTTGTATTTAATTATCTTATTATTTTTCTAGTTACTAGTTAAACCACTCATTTAAATGCTTATTTATTAATTTATTAATTTATATGTTCACTTATTTATGTATTAATATGTATTTTTCTTTATTCATTCATTTATTTATTAATTTTTATATATAATCCATACCAAAGTAAGCTAAAATTCACAAGAGAAATAAATCAAAATTATTAAAATTAAATTATTTAAAATCTGAAAAATGTCGGAAACTAACAAAAAAAATTTAATTAAAACCAAATATAAATTAACATCCACAAAAAAAAAGAATTTTTAAGTTAGCTTATATACTAATAATGAATTCAAAATGCCAAATATTAATAAAATCACTCATAAATCATTAAATTGTCATAAATAAAATAGAAGGACAAATATTTGTGTTAAACTAGATTTACAAAAATTAAAATTCTCCATATATGTATGTATATAATTTCAAATATTTTAAACAATTTCGTACCCATAGCGTAATAATGCAGCAATACAAGTTGGCATTATTGATTTATATGCAATATTTTCTATACTAATACTTTAATTTAATATTTTCAAACATGTCGTTTGTTGATAATTTTTTTTAAGCTGCGACTTAACGTCCTGTTATGGCCTTTATTATAATTCAGCGCCAAAAAAAAAAAAGAAAAACTAGTATATCATATTGTCTAGAACGATTAATACAAACAACACTTCATAACTTTATCAGACCCAGCTAGAAATAAGGAAGAAAATATTATAGTAAATAAGTATTTTTGACCAAAAATCGCCTCAGCGGTAACAAAGTGCCAATTATACACATAAATAAGTATTTTTAGCAACAGACTAAAATACATTCACAAATCATGATTTTGAACACAGAACTCTACATACCTTTTTTAAATTCTACGGCACTTCATATTCTATCCCTCAACACATCTTACGTACTCATACCCGCAGTTATCTATAAATAATTAAATAGATAAACACAGGATGCCTAGTTGACCTATAAAGTTGAAAATTTATACTGATTTTACAAGTTTTTCCAGTATGCGTAGACGTGTACAATTCTTTTCAATATTTTATGAATATATATATATATATTGTCTCTCTTACAATCCAACCCACCTATTTAAGTTTATATATGCATATATATATGTATACATTGTAGATGAAAGGAACTGGCTTTTGAAAAACAATAAATTTTTCCATAGTTTTGCTATGAACTAACAGCTAAATCAAAACTAGTAAACAGATTTTAAGTGTTTTTTAAGTATATGCATATATTGTCTCATTTTTTATTTTATTTAAAGATTTATTTTTCTTAGTTCTGCTTGTCGAAATTTTAATTCATTTCATTTTAAATCAAAAAGCGACTTAAAACCCATAAAATAAATGAGAACAGTCAAAAAAATATAAAATTAAAAATATCAAATATAAAATATAAAATATAAAATATAAAGTATAAAATATATATATAAAATATAAAATATAAAATGTAAAATATAAAATATAAAATATAAAATATAAAATATAAAATATAAAATATAAAATATAAAATATAAAATATAAAATATAAAATATAAAATATAAAATGTAAGTGCTTTGTGCGTTATATGTAATTAATAATACTCAATGTTTGTAATATGCAATTTCTTAAAAAAATGTAACTATATAAAATTTAGATAAAGCGCAGCAGTTTAAAAATAAAATGCAAATGGGCTTGCGAAAAACCACATTCTTTAAAATCAATATAAATTACATTAAAAAACGTATTGGTTCATCTTTATTTTTATTTATTATTATATATATATATATTTTTTTTTTGTTTTTAAAAACACATTTTATTTAACTTTATAGCTTAATCATAAATTTGATTTCAATGAAATTTAGGCAGTAAAATTTTATAGCAAATCTCTTACGTGAGCATTGTTGTCTGCAATGGACGTCGCCATGTCGCCAAATAGGCGATACCGCAAATTTCTTCATATCAATTTATAAATTTCATTTATTATTGCAATGCACTTAAATTGACAAAATTTAATATCTTTTAATTAAATCAATGTGAAATTCCAAAAAAATTCCAGTTTTTCTCACACCGCATGGTATCGAATTTTATGTATATATTGTATATTGTTCTTTTGGAATAAACAAATGAGCAAACCAATATTTCGACTACCGGTTCTTTGTATACATATGTATATAGAGACAAATGATTACGAAATTGCTTAGCAATTTGTATACGTCAAAGCAATAAAATATTTGTAAAATCAAGTAAAATTAATATCTTACATTTTTTTTTAAAGCGTTTACAATAAATATAAATAAATTATAGAATTTTTGTGTTGATACAAACAAATAAATACTTTCTTTTTTCTTCATTTCTTTTACGTCTCACACAGCTATGAGACCGCCAATGGCATTAAAGGAGAAGAGACGGGCACCCTTAAGAAGGCCACCTCACCGGACACCAGCGATGTTATCATTGCGCGTGGCTCAGTCAGCTACACTTCACCGGAAGGCAATTTGATTACCTTGAACTATGCTGCCGATGATGAGAATGGCTTCCAGCCACAAGGCGAACATCTACCCACACCACCACCAATCCCACCAGCAATCCAAAAGGCACTCGACTACTTGCTCAGTCTGCCCCCAGCGAAACGTCGTTAAGCAAAACTTAGCTCATACACTAAAGTAATATGAAAAGGCAAAACTTTTATGAAAATGTTTTCATTTTTTTCTAAATTCTTCCCTGCCAAGTGAAACCTTCAAAATGATTGCTGTACTATACTTAACAAAATCCCATTTACTTACATACATATATAACTACTTAGCGTACCTATTACATATGGACGAATGTGGACACGTTGCTCATACGCATTAAAAACGAAATATATCAAACACACACATACACATACTAGGGCACTAAATGAATACACATAGAAAAAGCAATTATTGAGTTGAAGCATTGTGTAGTGAGATGAAATGTAAATGTATGTACGTATGGAAAGTAATGAGCGAAAATAATACAAAAAAAATACTAAGTACACTGACTGAATGAACCGTTAGTTATAATAAGCGAAAAATGTATAATATTTTAAAAATACAAACAAAAAAAGAAATATATATAATATTAATACCATACTAGTTGTCAACTGGCATTAGCTCACTACACCTACACTACTCTTAGCAAATATTTTGTAGCCTCTCGCTCTCACTCTACACCTTCTGTTTCAACCACCTCAATTGTTTGTGTGCACGACAACTTCAACTCTCTCATTCTGCTTGCCTACAATGATACTCAGCATTTAACTGCACCCTGAGCGGAAATTTAAATATTATAAAATACTTCTGAAGCGAAATACAAGATATCACCGCTTGAATTCTTCACTTGCACTTTCACTGCACAAGCTCTTCTTTGACGCAGAACTGTTTTCAAACTTGTGGACTTTCCAACTTGTTGAACACTCTCGACTCCTACTCTCTCCCTATCTCTTTTATACTTTTGTTTGTAGTCGCCGGAACCTTATTGCTTCGGACCCTTGTGATATCGTTGCTTTTTAAAAATGAGATAAAAATTCAATGAAATGCATTTTTTGCTAATAAAAAAACACTATAAATATTTTGTTCAAGAAAGTTACAGAAGTTTTAGTAAAACACTAGAAATGATGTTGTTGTATCATATGTTAAGCACTACATAATATGAACGATTATTTCCATACGTTTCTCATAAATGTATATAATATAAAATTTTATACACAAATGTTATAAATGTCTTCGTGTAAAGAATTAAGAAATGCAAGCTGAGAATTAAAGATTCTTAAAAAAATTTAAAAATGTGTTTTCTTACTAAAAAAGGGAAAATTTAAAATAAAATTTTTTATATATATTTTACGATTATAGAATATAAAATGTAAAATTTAAATATAAAATATAATATATAAAATATAAAATATAAAATATAAAATATAAAATATAAAATATAAAATATAAAATATAAAATATAAAATATAAAATATAAAATATAAAATATAAAATATAAAATATAAAAAATAAAATATAAGCGGGGCAACGTTCTTGTAAAATTTACTACAGTAGCCCTTTAAAAAGAACTGGCATTCACTCTGATGGATGGACGTCGTCCACAATCTGCAACAAAGCAATATTTTTAAGCATATCACGAAAGAGAAGGATGAAATGACCAAAAACGCTTTCTACAAGTTCTTAGTACGCGCTCATGAGCGCTGAACCTATCATGATATCATGATCTAGCTACGTGGCTGACGCCGTGTCGAAGATCGCGCAATCAAATCGATCATGTTTTGATTGACGGAAGACGTATTTCCTGTGCTTTAAAAATGCATACGTAAGAAGGCCAGCCAACAAACACAAGGAAAGTTCAACACCGAAATACTGTAATCACAACAAACAGCCAAACCTGCTTTCTGAGAGCACTCATCAGTAACTCGATATAATGGCTCTTTGGAACGGCATCTCAAACTCCCGACGTACCACAATTTGTATTCGTCAATGCCTGAAAAATAACTGGTATGACGAGCAATGTCCAACTGTAACCTTGCGTTCGAGCACTACTCGCACGGGTTGGTATAGTTACCGAGAGCTAAAGAGGGAAGCAAAATGCATTTGCAAACGAAAAAGAGAGAGGCCCATATACGTGAGTATGAAGAGCTTGCCGATAAGGGAAATGCTAGCGAATTCTATGAAAATTTGCAATGGCTAACCGAAGGTTTTACTTCTCTAACCTACAAAATAGGAGTGGAATAATAACACCAGGAGCTTTATAAACTACATAACCTCAATGAAAAAAAATTCTTCTTCTTCATAGTAAAATTCAATTATAAATGACCTCGACAACTACTAAGTTAGACCCAGCCTTCAGAGACAAATCAGAGGCAAAAGCATGAACAAAAAAGTTAAAGCCGTTTAAATCGTTATATAAAAACAACTTTAAACATCATGGACAGCTGTGCATATCGAAAAATTAAAAAGTCTCTACAGTAATAGACCAAATTATCAAACATATATTATAATCCTCCCACAAATTGTCAATAGTAGGAATATTATTTTGAAATATGTTCCAGTTTATGCCTTTTCCGCAAGTTTCCAATTAAAAATTTAAGAAGAGTTTTAAACTGACCAAAAACCGATTTGACACATTTTTATCGAAATATTTTATTTTCATACTTTGGACGCATTTACTTTCCATTAAATCCCAAAAATATACTTTTAATTATATTTTTTTATTGCTTTTCACCAAATAAATTCGATAGTCACATAATTTACGGTGAACATACATATGTATATGTATGTCAAATCTAACCGTAAACGCGGTAGAACGATTGTGTCATAATTTTTTGTATCAACATTGTCAGCAGATACCCAAAATCACAACAACAGCTGACCACACGACTCGAAAACAAAAAAAAAAAAACAACAGTAAGTATTCAAAAATTGTATATGTAAGTACAAATATAAATAAAATAATGTTTTCTAAACTCTAGTTCCTATGCAAATTGCCATAATTTCGATTCACTAACTAAAATAACAACAAATAAAAAATGATGTGACAAAATAATTTACGCTGCTGCCCATTTTAGTGACGGCTCCCCACATAGTGATTTATGGTCAAAAACACAACGTTAAAATAGCAAGGAAAATAAAGAAATAGGAAGAGTAAAAGAGATAGAAAAAGAAATCATATTAAAAACTAAAAAAAAATTATAAAACTAAAAATTAAAATTAAAAATTAAAATAGGAATAAGAAATACAAATCGAAATAAAAACACCGATAATAATAAAAACTCGAAAAAAAAATCAAATATTAAACAATACTAAAAATAAAATTTTAAATATATTTCAAAAGAGGAATTAATTAGAAATAAAAATAAAATTTAATATTAAAATAAGAATAAAATAGAAATAACGTTAAAAAAATTCAAAATTGCAATAAAATTAAAAATTTAAATACGAGTAAAAATAAAATATAAGATAAAAATTAAATTAAAATTTAATTTAAAATTAATTTTTAATATTAATTTAAATTAAAATTATAATTAAAATTAAAATTAAAATAAAGTAAGAAATAAAAATAATATCAACATGAATAGGAAACATTATACAAATTAAAACAAAATTAGAATAAAAAGAAAAACTAAAATTATAAAAATATTATTTTCATATAAATCAACTACAATAAAAAACAGAAAAAAATAAAAATAAAAGTAAAAGAATAGCTAAATTTTTATGCGTTTCCGTTTTTATTTTTTTTTTTACTTTCAGCTTTAATTTGATTACGATTTTCACTTTGCCTTTTGTATCAACATCTTTTTTTTTTTTTTTGATTTATATAAATATAAAAATTAAAGAAAAACGAAAGCAAAAACAAAAAAAATTAAATTTAAAAACTAAATATAAATAAAAAAAACATAACAGACATCTAAAGCTAAAAAAATAAAATATAAACAAAAATAAAGATGAAAATAAATATAAAAAATTAAAAATAAAAGATAGAGATAAAATTAAGCATAAACAAAAAATATTAAATTAAAAAAAAATAAAAACTAAAACAGAAGCAAAAAAATAGTTAAATTAAGTACAAATAAAACCAAAAATATGAATAGAGTTAAAAGCAGAAATGGTAGAATAAAAATATATGCAATTAAATAATAAAGCGGTCAGCTGAAGCTATTTTCGAATAATCAAATCTTATAAGAGCATATTCTCATTTAAGCATTTAAAAATATACCCAATTGAATATCTGCCATTTTGTTCCAAAAAAAAACAAATATATATACATATATATGTAAATATACATTATATATATTTTTTGTTACAATCTGGCGCCAGTGTAGGTAATTGATATTTTGAAACAAAACAATTAATCTCATTCGCTTAAAACCAAACTCGCATCTTTTATTGTTTTTAATATTTTATTGTTCTTAAGCTGCCCTGTAGAGAATTTAACTATTCGTTTTTTTTACTCTTAAAATCTTTTCCTTATTAAATTTGTCAAGCTATTTGGAAATACAAAAAAGCTTCAGAGGAAACAAGAATTTTATTATTTATTTTGTCGTATTTTATTTTTATTTTTTATTTGGCCAAATTTAATGTTGAGTCAGAAATATTCTAATTTCATGCTATTGGCCTAAGCAGCATTTTATGTTAATATTAAGTCAGTATAATAATTTTTCGATAACTTTAAACCAGTCAGAATTAGTTTGCTCTTCAGACAGAAAAGCCGGTAAAGAAATATCGCGAGAGTAGCGATTACTACTGAAATAGCTGTTTTTTAGTAGCGCCGTGCTTAGTTTTATATTTAAATTTAAAAACATATAGGCTAAATAAATCACAGATATAAAATATACACACGAGGACGTTAGTGAAAATTCCCTGTAGGAAATTGAGCTACGTTTGTCTTCGTCTCATACAAAAAAATTAAATTATCTACTTATATCATTTGCATAAGTTCCGTAAGTAGCAAAAAGAGGGTGGAAAATATATAAATTTATTTTAATTGTATTGATATCTGAAATTAAAAAAAAAGGAAAATATTTATCTGAGAGAAAAATTATAATAATCACGTTAAAATGAGTGTTTTTGCTATTCGAAATAAAAAAGATTCGATGTAAAATTCAGCTGGATTTCTCTTTAAAAGAGACAACAATATTGTAATGAATATTTGCCATGCTCGCTTCTCTTTGTTTATACTATTTATGCTCTTGCTTCCAGCCTTTCCTATAGGGATCTTAGTTACCAATACTCTCACACACCTACATGAGCCTTCGCTGATGGGCAGGTTAAAAAGTCTGGCAGTGAAAAAACAAGTTCAATATTATTTATTATAAATATATGAATTTATTTAATACTATATACCGAAAAATTATTTATTTTGAACGGCATTGAATAGTCGCTGAATTTTAAGAGCAGCTTTGTTTTGACTTTTAATGCTTAAATTTATACGCGTATGTGTAAATTCTTTTTTATTTTCGTCGTCAGGAATCTCGATATGATCTGCTTGCTGCTGTTTTTGTGCTGCTGGTCCATTATGGCATTGACGCATGTATAAAAGTCTGTCATCAAAGCATGGAGCTTGTCATTTAGCTTGTCGCGTTTTTAGGTGAACTTCACAGCTCATCATTTCAAATTGTGCTAGTTATATTGTTGTTGTTGTTGTTCCATTTAACACTAAAAAATTTCGTTTGCCACATTTATACATTTTCATTAATGCGAATTTCTAGTTAATTAAATTAAAAATAAATATGAAGTTTTTCTTGGTCCTCTGTTTGTGTGTTGCCGCGGCGCTGGCAAAGGATGAAGTGCAATTGATCTCAAATGAAGCGATGGTGGAATATGATGGAAAATTTCATTACCAGTAAGCATTTGTTGTGTACAAAAAAAGGTGTGATTAATGGACTAGTCGTTTTGATGTTAGAGTGATGAAATGCGTTCTAGAAATGTTTGATAAATATTTTTAAGAATAAAATATGTGCGGCTAAATTCGAATCATTACTATATAAATGAAATATAATATATAATAATCTCTAATTCCCGCCATTAATATTGGCGGTCGCGGAAGCTGAGTGGTTAGCATTGCATACTGGCAACCCTTCCGAGAGTATTTCTGATATGAAATAAAACTCCTCATAAAAAAACCATCAGCAGTTCGGAGGCAGCTTAGTATAAACTGTAGGTCCCTCCGTTTATTGGAAAAACATCAAGACGCAAAACTACAAATTGGAGAAGGAGCTCGGCGAAAAATCGATTCAGCGATTACAAAGCACCAATTATATATATAAAATTGTCGGTAGCCAAGCCGCTTAAGTACCTATAAATTCTGACTATTTTCTTGAGATTGCTATAATTGTTCCAAAAGTCCATCAGAAATTTCATCCCCTTGTACGTTTTTCAACTGTTTTACTGTTTGCAGAAGTCGATAAGTTGTAAGCATTGTAAGGAAAAGAGTTTATTATTTCTGAGCAGTAATGTTGTTAAAGAAAATTTGATTATATTCAACTAAAAGATTTTAACGTATTGATCTGAATTTTGAGCGAAAAACTCTTTGGTTTTTTAAATAAAAAATAAAACAAATAATATTATGTATTCAATTATTTAATTTTTTATCAATTTATTTTATTTTTTAGTCTACTTCCTTCTCTTCATATTTTATTTTCTTTTATGTTATTTATGTTTTTTTATTTTATTTCATTTCATTTTACCTTTTTATCCTCCTCCTTGTAGGAAAAAACTGATTTCACAGTATTTTTTGCAAAGTGCCCATTTTCTATTTGCAAAATGAAAGTCACGTAGTGCTCTTATTTATTGCTACTCCAGCGCATAAACAAAAATTCTTTTAAAACAATAGCTGCAAAAATTAACAATTTTTGAATTTATTAACTGTACAATGAACCACTAATTCACCTGAGAAATTGCGAAAATTTTCTAAAGTAGCCATTTAAATTATGAACATCAACTTGGCATAAAATAAAATTTCTCCCATAAACTACTCGCATATCTTCTAATCAAATCAAAAACAAACTAAATTCAAATTAGATCACATTCCACGTACAAGCGTTCATCAATGCGCATAATTTGTTTGTATATCACACGAAGATTCTAGCGAATTTAAATGCACACAGACCGATGAGATAAGCACTTGTTTTAAGATATGTTAACGAGAACATTTCACATGCCGGATATCTCATAAATTTCATGCGAAAGAATGAGCTTTTTTGTTACCATTTTTTATTTTACTTTTTTTTCTTTCAAATCACTTTAATTCATTTTATTTCATTTCAATTAGTTTGGAATTTTTATTTCATTTTATTTTATTTTTCTAATTTTAATTGATTCAGTTTTATTTAGTTTATTTTATTTTTTTCATTTCCTTATTTTGTCTTATTATAATTTATTTTATTTTATTTAATTTCGTTTCATTCAATTTAATTCAATCTTATTTTATTTTGTTTTATTTCAATTGACTCGCTTTTATTTATATTTTTAATTTCATTTATTTTGTTTTATTTAATTTTATTTTACTCAATTTAAACCTATTTTTTTATTTTGATTTATTTTATTTGATTACTATTTTATTGGCGGCCACGGTAGCCGAGTGATTAGTATTGCGTACTGCCATTCGGAAGGCTCGGGTTCGAATCCCCGTTTTACCAACATCCAAACGTTATAGAAAATTAATTAAAACAAAATATTAAGTTAAATTTTCTAATTATGGTTGCCCCTCGGCAGAAAATGTCAAACCCTTTAAGTGTATTTCTGGCATGAAATAAAGCTCCTCATAAAAAACCATCAGCCATTCGGAGGCGGCTTAGTATAAACTGTTGGTCCCTCCGTTTATTGGAAAACATCAAGACGCAAAACCACAAATTGGAGGACGAGTTGGGCGGAAAATCGCTTCAGCAGTTACAAAACGTCAATTATACTATTTTTAAATATGTTTTATATTATTTTTATTTATTTCTTTATATTATTTTATTTTATTTTATTTTTTTATATTATTTTATTTAATTTTAAATTCTTTTTAATTTTGTTTTTAACATTATTTTATTTTATTTTATTTCATTTTATTTTATTTTATTTTATTTTATTTTANTAGTTTTATTTTATTTTATTTCATTTTATTTTATTTTATTTTGTTTTATTTTCTTTATTTGATTTTACTTAATTTTATTTTATTTTGTTTTATTTAATTATTAATTTTTTTTACATTATTTTATTTTATTTTAATTTTTTATTTCATTTCTTTTTCATTTGATTTAATTTTTTTAATTTCCTCGTTTTTTTTATTTTGTTTCTTGTTTTGGCAAGACAATAATAAGCCTAACCCGTTTTCTATAAATAAATATAGATAAGTCTAAGCTAATATTTTCTTTTGTTCTTCTATTTTTCTTTTCGCATAGTTACGAACTCGGTGATGGTTCGAAAGCTTCGCAAGATGGTGTCTTAAAAAATGTCGATCCTGAGCACCAAGGCGAATCGATTGAGGGTAAATTCGCATTTGTAGGCGACGATGGCAAAGAGTACTTGGTGTCATACATTGCTGATGAGAACGGCTACCAACCAATAGGCGATCATTTGCCCACACCACCACCAGTGCCGGAATCCGTATTGAAGACATTGAAGTATTTGGAAGAACATCCCTACAATCCTGAAGCGGCAGCGAAAAAGCACTAGAGATTAAATTATATAATACAAATGCTCAGCATAAGTTGAAGCGAGTTTATAGAGGAGAACTGTGATCTTTGCGATGCGCAATGTGTTAAATAAATAAAAGAAAAATATAAGTTTTGAACTGATTCCTAAAAACAATGTTAAATACACATTTTTTTTATTTATTTCTCTGTTAAAAGTAAATGATTTGTAAATGAATGTCTTATTATGAAATTTGTTGAAAATATTAATAAAAAAAATTGTATGAAACTGAATATATGTATTTTACTTATTTAGCCAAATAATTTATGTGTGAATATGCCGGTATGTTCAAAGTTTATTCACCCAAAACAAAATCAAAATATTCAAAAATACCATGGTTAAGTGTTTGTTGATTCACAAAAATACTTGTACATACATACATAAATATTTTTATTTAAATAAGTATGTCGACGCACATACATAAGCATAATATTTAAAGTTAATAAATTATTGTGCATTGTAAAAATAATTTAATTTCTCTTTACTCCTCCTTCTTTTTTACTCTACTGTATTTATTTGCTTTCTTTAACCGTTAGCGGCGGAACAATAAAATCGCAATAAACTTGAGAATCTATTGTCGAAAAATCACCAAATTTATTCCATAATCATAACGTGACTTGAATTTAATATATTATTAAGTAAAGCATTAGATATGTTAGGCAAAGCAGCATATAATGTATGGATGTTTGTACTTAGATACGTTCGATAAAAGCTTACGTAATGTGACAAGTGCTAAACACCTCAAACGGTTCATTCCTACATATGTACACACTCGTATACAAACATTTTATATGAATTTTACCCAAAAGTGTGTTGCTCTTATTGTTTTTTAATTGTCATGAAATTCCATCATAATTTGATAGAATCGTACTTGCCCTGCCCTTTTTTGCATTTTTCAAAAATGTTGAGAAAGAAAAAATTATAGCTCACACAATAGTACGTAAAATGATATTTCTTTTATTAAAGTTTTAAAATTACTTTCCGTTAAAGGCAGCGAAAAATCTTCTCAATATTTTTTCATAGGCTAATCGTCATAAAAATTAATAAATCATGTAAAATAGTTTCAAAAAACAATGAGAAGAAGAATTAGCTTGATATTTAATTTTACCTTTCACGAGAAACTTTTTTTCTGGTATTGAATTGATCATCAAAATTGGGAATTCTCTTCCAAAACTCCTCGGATAAAGATCCTTTCCATACTGGTGATGAGACTTTGAGCTCTAAGAAGTTGGAAAGGTCCGCTAGAGAAATACCGGCTTTACTTGGTGTCTCCAACAGCTGCATCTGCCGTGCAGAAGAAGCATCTGGCGTGCAATTGTTGTCTCGGTTCTATCGCGAAAGCATGCACTTATAGCCATGTCACCTTATTGAAAACTTTTCTTAAAATAATAAGTCAGTTTATATGATACACAATGACTATTATTTCAATTCAGAAATTCGTATTTCTCGTTCGATTCGCTTCAAATTTTATACAAAGCTTATTGCTTGGATTATCCTCAGTATAATTTTTTCTTTAGAAAAGTGGAACTAAACATTTTCCCAACCAACAGTACGCCAACCAAATATCAGAAACTTGAAAGTCCTTACCGTGTGAAAACATTTTTATGGCAAGGCTTACAAGGTTATGTAAAGAGCGAAATCGTATATTTAATGACGAAATTATTCAATATGCGGCAGACAAAAATTAAAAAACTTGTACCAGTGATAATAATAACATTATTTAAATATAAAATCTTTAAAGCTCAAAGCTTGAAGTTTTGGCAAGGAATCGTGATTTCAACGTATCGTTATATATATAATGTTCACATATGCTAGAAAGTGGTATTGCTTGCATATATATTAGTAAAAATATATTACAATAAAAAATGGTCTTTACGTATTAATGCCACCGCAGCTGGACCTTGTGTAAAGCTCTTAGCTCTAAATTAGGCAGTAAGGATAATTTGAATACAGTTGAAAAACTTTATTCATTGCAAAAAATTGTCAGAGAGATTGAAAAGTCGAATAGGGATAAGTTGCGAAAAATTTATTGAAAATAATTGAAAAACCATTACATTTTAGCTTTTGCGGTTGCATTTATTGTATTTAAATTAATAAGGATTTCTTTATTGCCCTTAAATGCACTCAAGGCAAATTCATTTGAAGTCAGAGCTCTTAGCATCTAAATTGAAATGAATTACACAAATATAACTTTTTTTTTTCTAAAACTGAACTTAATATTTCCATATCTTCATTTATTATAGTATAAAAATGAGCTGTGTACTTGAAAATACTAAAATCTGGAATTTAATTTATTTCCCACCTTCCTACTTGAGCTTCTATTTCAAAACATAATTTAATGAAAAAAATTTTATTTATTTTTTGATTATTGTAGCACGTTGCCTTACGATTATTTTCTAGATTAATGTGAACACAAACATTTTTAGTGCTCTAGGTCACTTATATTAACAGTATTATGAATATAATAATGTTAAATGAACTGCTAACAAACGATTACGGCGAAACTATATTTTGCATTATTTGCGCAGCAAATCGATGGAAAAGAAGAAGAGGAGTAATGCAATAAAAATTTACTCATATCTCAACTGCTTCAAAGTAGAACAAATCCGATTCACTAACTTCACTAAGTTTACTCACTTATTGCCATAATTTTTGCTTTATTTCTCTGTTTGCTTAATTTTCATAGAACAACAACTACAGAAAGATAACACATAAAAGCAAATATTGGAAACTACCTTTTGGTAGATGCTCTAAGTGCTAATTTCTATTAGATAAAAATGCTAATGAATTTTACAACTTCGAGTGCACACGCGTACACTTTTAGCCAAGTGAAAAATTTTTTTCAGTGAGTAAGTGATTCGTACTACTATATTTAGTCCAAAGTGTTTACTAGTTTCTCATAAACTAAATGTGTATGTAAGCACATGTACAGGGTTATATATTTTGCGGTTTCGAATATAAAATGAAAATTAATAAGTAAATAGCTTAAATAATTTTTTCACGAAATTTATTTTTATTATAAATATTGATGCTTACATTTTATGTGAAACATAATATCGTGGAAATGATCGCCACGCGAAGTTTTACACGCTTCGCTTTGTTTGAGATATTTTTCGACAACTTTTTGGCACATATTAGGCGGGTATCTCAGCCATAACTTGACGAATGTTGATTTTTAAGTGCTACAGACCGCATAGGGCATCAACTTGTTGAAACCTTGTGAGCTCCAGCTCATATTCTACAAAGTCGGTTATTATATGAAAGAAAGACCAAGCGCATGTGACCGAAACGATATAGACACATTTGGGTCTACGGCTAGACTTTCATTTACTAATGTTGCACTTGCCTTACAATATCTATAGCCTATTCAGTCTCTTCAAATTTCTTTAAAATTTTACCAATTGCTTGAGTAGTTGGACAAGTATCTCCTCTTAAAAGATGAAGCGTGGACACGTACGAAACCCCATTTTTGTAGTTATTTTTAGCAATTTGAAGGCGTTGCGTGGTCATAAATGTCTGACTGGTAACTAAAGCAAAACTTGTTTGTTTTGACAGCTATTTAAGTTTGACAGATGTCAAAATACAGTCTTGTACTTTTGAAACAACGAAATGGCTAACCCTATACATTAGTTTATTAGCTTTTACTGTTTGTATTTAAATTTTGCTGCTTCTCTTTTAACCATAGTTTCTATAATAGCCGTCTGGTGTCTTTCTCTTTGATTTTCTTATTTTTATGTATTTTAATTCAACTAAAATTCTTACAATAAGAGCGAATTTCATAAACGTACAATTTTAATTTAAATAATCTTAGTTATACCTATAATATGCATCTGAAAACGTACTGAATTCAAGAAAATTTTTTGAAATAGTTTTAGAAGCTCAACTTACAACATTAATAGACTCAGACGGGTTGAGATTCCCTACCTAGGGGCGGCCGCCATTTTCAAAATTAACTTAAATACAAAGTACAATATGCAAAAAAAAATTACTTCGATATTTTGCACTTTATGGTTTTGAATCTTTAGATTTAATATTTGTGCAATTATAACGTTAGAATTCTTTCGTAATATCTATTTATTACTTTTATGACTCAGGGATACATCTAAAGTGATTTACGGCGCAATACGAGTGCCGCTTTCAGAAAAAAAAGAAAATTGTCAATTGACATCTTTTTTACTTTTCGAATAATAGTGCATGAAAAATGTCATTTTACAACAAAACTAATTTAAAATAAATTCTTCAGCCGTTCGGTGGCGGCTGGCATAAATGGTAGTTCCCCTCATTTGCCAGAAAAATATCAGCTCATTTTTTGTTTCATGGCGTAATAATAATTTTACAACAGTAACCTATATTCATCACACATTAAACAAAACTGCACGTCATCTAATTTACATAATTTAATCAACTGTGGCAATTCATCAAACATGGACAAACCTTTTCAGCCTATTTAACATAAACAAAAAAAAAACAAATCATACGCATACTTTTGAACTGGAAGCTGCAACTGCCAATTTCAGCACGTCAACCTATTATCAAGTAGTTTTTAGTGAATAAAACAATGAGTCAATTTTTTCCGCCGAATAATCAAAAATTGCTCACGTAACCGTTTCGCTTGTGGCCAGCAAGAGCGATGCAACATTTGCATTGAAATAACGGTAATATGTGTATGAATGGACTATATGAAATGGAAATAAATGAAAACATAATTTCATCTTTTCAACACGTGAATGACAAACAAAAATTCGATTGTTAAAGTGTGTAGTGTTTGCTTTGTATTTGTAATTGAGCCTCCCCTTCCATTGAACTGAACCCAGGGTTACTCATCAGTTTACAGTTTTCAGCACGTTTGCCGCAAAAGGAGTAGTGTAGTTCACCGAAAAATATATATATGTGTCTACAAAATGTAAAGTTAATGAAAATAAAAATAATTAAAATGCGAAAAAATTCGCGCACATTTGCCACTCACGTATATACAAACAATTACATATACATAAGTACAATATTAGCGAATATTTATTTTTGCGGTTAGTGCCATTTACGCACGCATACACGGTCAGAAAGCATTTTAGATTTCATTATTTTTTTTATGTTTTAGTAGTCTTTCAATCTACTATCTAGCGCTCCCATCTTTCCCTTGTCGCACAGACACTCACTTACCGACCCTCACGCACGCAGTCACCCATACCTTTATACTCACGTACATATGTACATACAGTTACTCGTAGGTACGCATTGCCGGTAATTGGAGTCCGTTTTGATTTTTTTTTCGCCAGATACATACATACAGACATACATACATTTTATATATTTTTCTCATTATTCATAGCAATTCTTCACTGTTGTACTTATACTACTTCGCACTCGATATTGCGATTCTTCAAGAAACATTTTCGTGTATAAAAAGGCGCTGATATTAAGTACTTGTCAGCCAGTTGTTAAATAGCATTTCCGACATTCAAGTGGATTACGCACACGGTCGTCGAGAGATAATAGCGAAACGAAAGGATATTATAATCTCAAGATTTGTGAAAGTTAATTAACAAAAGTTAAACTTAAGAAATTTACCAAGTGTTCTTTTGTGGTGTTGTATTGTAAACAGTATATATATTTAATTAAAAATGTACAAATTCGCTATTGTTCTATTGTCGGCGATTTTATTCGCATTTGTTTTAGCGCGTCCTGCTGAGGAAAAAGCGGATGCAGCCATTATTACCACAACAACAACGCCAGCAACAATAATCAAGCAAGTTGATATAAGCAATCCAGATGGCAGCTACAATAACAGGTGTGTATTTTTGGAGTGTTGGCTACTTTTCGAAAAGTGCAAAAAATATGGGATGATATTAAATATATTTAAATTCATTATTCTTACTGTATTTTTTTGATAAAGGTTATTGAGACCTGCGGTAGAAAAGATTATATTTTGAAATTTGATTTTTTAACAGAAAAGTCTTGCTTGAATTTAATATATTTTTTAACTTAACTTTCATAAAAATTTTCTTTGCAAAGGCATTTTAAATATATATTTTTATATTTAATATATATATATATATTTTTTTTTTATTTAATATTATTGCAAACATTCCTTAAAAAATTTAAAGAAATTAATTAATTTTGTAATTAGTAGACATTCAATTTGGAATATATGAGATTTAATTTATATTTTGAACGGCGTAAAAAAATTTAAAATCATATTTGTCCTATGTGACAAATCGAAATTTCATACATATTTACGCTGTATACGATGCAATTTGTTACTAGTCAAACGCAGCATTTGAATATTAAAATTAATTAATTACCAAAAAGTGTAAAGAATACTGCTTGAAATCGTTTTGATAAAAAACTTTATTTATATTTCAATTTAAATTATTTTCCAATTGTTGTGTGCTAATTTTTGGAAACATCGATTCTGAGTTATTGAATTTTTTTAATTTTTTAAGAAATGTTCCAGTCATTTCAGTTGAAGATTATTGCATTTTAAATTTTGATATATATCCATGTGTTGAAATTCTTGGCAAACAAAAACAGATTAATTATTTTTAGCATTATTTAATTTATCATAAATAAAGAAACGACGGCAAAAATTAATTTTAATTATTTAAAAATGTCAATTGGTGAAATGAGTTAATTTTAAGCAACCCAACGTACTAATTTTAATTAATGAAGCTTGAATCGCTGTAGCGATTTTACCAACTTATGGTGGGTGTCTTGAAGATATCTCAACAAATGAGGTACTTAGAGTTTTTTCTAAGTCCCCGCCACACGGCTGTTGCGTTTTTATGAAAAGCTTTTATATCATATCAGAAGTATGCAATTAGAAAAATTAGCTTTTTTTTTGGTTTGGCCGGAATTTGAACCCACCACTCTACATACGAGTATAGCAGATAAATATTTATTTTTTATTTAAAATATAAAAATTTGGTTTTTGGATGAAAAAAATTTTATTCCTTTCAAAACTATTCAGAAAAATATCTTTATTTAAAGTAAATCAACACATCATAGACATCAAAGTCTAGTCTCTATGCAACTATTATATGAATGCTTATGGTTGTAGAATATTTTCGTGATATTTTGGCTGATTATGAAAAGCGCTTTAATCTATCTCCAAAGGCTTTTGATTAAAGTAATGTTTTTCCTAAGCATTTTTTATGCAATGTGAATGCGTTAATCATCTATTTTCAATTTATTTTACTTCATTTTTTATTTATTACCGTTTTTTATAAATTTATTAATAATAATTGTTTAATTTATATAATGTTATTCTTAGAATTTTACATTTTTTATCTATTGCTTAGACATTAAGACAGTAGACTTTAAAAAAGATATTTCCATCTTCCCAAATAATTTTTGCATAGAAGTTTCAGACAATATATTAACTTAACAACTGCTCTTTTTTTAGAAAATATTAAAACTAGAAACTCCTGCAATATATATATATATATATATATTTATATTTTTGTTTTGAGCCTAATACATCAGTCTTTTGAAAATAATATTAACCCTACTACAACAGCAACGCTAGGAAGTTTAAATATATCCATATATTGCCACACTCAAAATAAATTAATAGAAAATAATAATAATTCTAAAAAAAATGTCTTACAGTAGATTTGCAGAATTTTTCTAAAGCGAAATCAAAATATGTCGTATATATATGAAGTAGAAGAGGGGTAAAAAGAGAATGCCGTGGAATCGCTCGGTAAAGAAAAATTATTAAATTTTAAGAAGTTAAAAACTATTCTGGGACAAAGCTCAGGTTTGTTCTGTCAATGGGCAGTAGGTGGCTCTTTATAGCTAATAGCATTTAAAGTGTCTGAAGTCTTTATCGAACCAGCGGAGCGGGCGAACTTCGTTTTGCTCCACTTTCAGTCTGAAATTTATCAAATTTGATGTTCAAACCAATACAAATGGTTACGTCTGTTTTCATTTATTTCTTTCATGTTCCTCTTGAATTTGATTTCCACTTATAGTCTATACACAAAATGATGAAATTCACCGCTAAAAAATGATCTGGATAGAATTATGTTAGGTCCTTTAATTCTAAAGCGTTTCTACACATAAAGATATAGTAATAATATTGTATGAACGCATGATCTATAACTAAATCGCACTAATTTTCTGCGATTTGTCATAAATCCACTTCTCGGTAGGAGGCTAGTATATACAACCAACCGTACCATATCTACGATTTTCTTAAAAAGATCAGTTTGAGATCCACATTACGGAATAATATTTTTAATATTATAAATTTCCTCTCTACTCCTCTTTTAGCTACGAAACCTCTAATGGCATTAAAGTTGAAAACGCTGGGTATTTGAAGAAAATTGTGGTACCAAAACAAGAATCAACCGATGGTGAAATAATTGAGGAACACGAAGAATTAGTGTTGGTGCAGACTGGTTTATACTCATACTCGGATCCTGAAGGAAATATCATCACTTTACGCTATGTGGCCGATGAAAATGGTTTCCAGCCACAGGGTGATCACTTGCCAGTGCCGCCAGCTTAAAAACCAGGAGATATGTCAAACGAATTAATTATTATTAAAACTAAAAAATAAACAAAATATAAACATAAAAAAAATATTAAGAAAAAAAGCTAAATTAAAACTAAAGCACAAAGAAAAGCAGAAGTAAAATGATAAGTTTTAAGCAATAAGTATTAAATTTAATACTAAGTTAATTAGAAGCGAAAAGGTTAATAAACCATAAGTCAATAGTTGCATAAATTTAAGTATGTAATTAAAAAAAATAAACACGACAATGCTGCCATTTAAAGATAAATAAAATGAAAATGAAAAAACAAAACACGAAAACCAAATTAAATTTGAATTTAATTATTATTTAGGTAAACATATAGTAATAAGTATGTACGTGTGCACTTTGGCATATTGTATTTAGTAAGTAAGCAATTACTATGTCAATAAGTAAGTATATAATTTTACAGTTGACTTACAGTTTTATTATAATACGAAATTTAGCCCAATTTTCCTTTTTTGAAGTTTATAAATGTTTACGATGGAAAAGAGCGAAAATTTAAAACACTTAACAGTTGTAAAAAGTCATATAAATTTATTTCTATGCTGACACGTTTTGGTGGCTTTCTATATTTGTCCAATTTATCTATGAATGTAATAATTGGTAATGGTCTGCAGGTGCTTGGTGAAGAATGATGAACGAGCCGAACAATATTGCATATTACTAAGTTATTGCGAAGATATAGTATGAGATTAAACACTTTTTCACTACTCATGGTCTTCCCTGAAACTGTATAGACATACATATTATAATAAAGTAAAGATAAATAACTTGATTCAAGAATTAAAAATTGTTGTATATAAATTGATAAAACATTTTTTAGTAACTTAACCACTAATGTGGTAGCTTTATTCTTAAGGGATTTAAGTTCAAAACGTTATTTATAAATTCTAGCTTTTCCCTATGAGATTTTGAAAATGGTTCTATTTTTTTTTTTTTTTTTTTTTTTTTTTTTGGTACCCTAACGGTATAATAACGTTTAAATTATATGATAAAAGGTTTGAATACTAAATCAGATATGAAAATCTTTATAGGTAAAGGTAAAGGTGATTTCTCAACCTAAGCAAAGAGCTAACTGAACTCTAAAGTTCAATCAAACCGTACTATTAGACGATGTATTGGACTAAAGAGATTACAGGTTCTTTTAAAATAAGGAAAAATTATTTATACGATATTTTAAGCAAGCGTCGAACCATAATTACATTGTCGAATAGAGCAGTCTGCGGTGCACTTATCGTACAGAAAATATCCTCATATACTATCCTAGGTGAATATCAAGTAAATTTAACCAAAAATTAGATTTATTCATATAGAGCAGTAACTCGTCCATTTTTCAGAATATAAACTTTGCTCCAAATTGGTTCACTACATTCGGAGTTCCTCACGTACAAACAGCATTACACTATGCTGCTCCAAACTAACTTTGGGACAACTCTTTTTCGGATGCTCAGATCATACACAAAATGTATGTCAAATCTCAAGTGATCTATTATTTTTGCTTTCCTTCATAACTTTTTTCCATTTTGAAGGTAATGCTTCTATGTCTCTCTCAAAGAAATTTCACAGGCTTCTCGTGAGGATACATCGTAGTTTATATTTGCTGGTGTCCATCTTTGACATGCGCTCAACTTATAGAACGCGAGATACAGATCAGTAAAACCATCTAAATATATATAGGGCAATCCAGTTTTCGGTTTCGTAAGTAAGAGTATATAAAATCCATTTAAAATAATTTTTCTCAAGAAATACCTTTTTTATTATAAAATGTGTGAAACAAAACATCAAACTTCGAACCAAATAATGTCCAACGTTGCATTCGCAAGTGACACCATTTTGATAAAACAAAATATAGTCCAAGATGTGCTCTTCAATAGCCGGCCAAAAAAAAAATGGTTATCATACGCCCCGAATTGAGAATGGCAGTCTCACCGCTGTCGTTTCAAAGAGCGCATCAGACAGTAAGTTTTTCTATTGGTATAATGGCTTCCGTTCAATTTTATTTATGATGATTCTCAGAACCCCACATAAGCCAATTTTGCTTATTTATATATCTCTCGAGTATGAAATGCGCCTCTTCACTGGAAAAATTTTTGTTCGAAAAATTGCCGTCTACTGCTTTATTCAAGCTGGCTTCATATATCAGCTGGGCTTTATTTGGACATTCCAATCGCAAAATGCGCCATAATTGCATAAAAAAGTCACTGCTCTTAAGATAGATGAAATAAACACTTTCATTTCTTCGGCTACACTTTCACTTACAGTAACGATATTTTAAGTGGAGTGATGATGCATAGGCCTTACAATATCTGTAACCGCACCACTACCTCCTCTTGAAGCTCGAAATGTGGCCACGTTTGTACAATTTGTATTGTAGATTTCAACAATCTTTTCACATTGTTGGGTTATTTAGCGATCCATTTTGACATCTGCCTGACTTTTAACTGACTGTTGAAATCAGTCGACCACAATCGAGTTAAAGCGGGCTCCACGGAGTGGTGACTTGAGTTTTGGAAACAAAAAAGTCGCATGGGGTCAAATCCGGTGAATACGGCTGTTGATCGATGGTATATAACGAGTTTTTGGTCTTAAAATCGTTCCCAACTACAGATCGGTGCTATGGGGCATTATCGTTATGAAAGTTTGCGGAAAATGTTGGCCCAGAATTCCGGCCGTTCATGACGGATGTTTTCGCGTAAGTACCTCCAAACGCTCAAATAATACTCTGTCCCGTTGGGACAAACCGCGAATATCGAAAAAAAAAAATTTCGAAAACTATCTTAATGTACATTTAACTGATCTATCACAACCCTTGTTTCAAGTATTTCGATCTGGTTTCATGGATGATTATTGGTCGAAATTTAGTATTACAGATAACCATATATCAGGCCCGGCGAAAACGATTTTTCAGGGCGTTGTATTATACCTTCCTTCACCCTTCTTTGTCCAGTCCGGCGTTCAAATTACTAAGCACGTTTTTGATGTAATAATGGGAGTAGAGCTTTGTTGGTGAGACGTTCGTATGTGTCACTCATTCAAATTAAAATTTCTCAAGTGAGACATTGTAAATTTTTTCATTAAAGCGGGTTCCAAATTCAGCGCACAACTTCGGTACGCTAAAAAAAACTTACGGGCTAACTAATGACGACCGCAATTAGAAAAATTAATGTTCTATAATTTATTATGTTTTTCGGACTAGTAACCGGATTCCGGCCTTTCGAATGAATTGACGGCCACGACGGTTTTATTGTATGTTCGGTGGGATTGGCGAGAAATCTTCAACTATGACATACTCTCCCACAGCCATGCTCTTAATTCACACCTTTACTGTCAGACTGAATTCAAAAATAATGGTTGAAGAAGATTGATAGAGCGTACATGACTGCCTATAGGTATACACATCGAAATTTACCCTTCCGAATGGCAGTAAAGACTGCTAACCCCCCCGGCTATTACGGCAGCCCAATATACCATTTAGTAATCTTAAAAAGTACCGTCAATCGAATCAAAAAAAAAAAAACTTATTTCTTCTTACTTACGCTTGTATATACTTACATACATAAATTTTTATTGTCACTTGCTGTTTTACACATATTTCTTGGAATAAATTTTAGGCTATTGTATTGCCATCATCCAGTGTCCTTGTGGTACTTTGAGATTAATAAAAATTAAGGTGCAGTAGATAACACCAAAAAAAACTGTAAATAAACAATAACCGCAATAAAATAAATAATTGTATGTACAGATAGTTAAGTTAAATATACGAGTGTGAGCCTACACATTCAGATTCATTATCGCTTCGGCGGCATTTCATTGACGAGTGTCGATACGCACTTTACGAATTGGCTTTGTCAAGCCCGCGTGTGAGTATTATGTTTTTACCTCCATAACAAAGCCGCCAAAAGGCCAAAACCGCTAACAGGCTCAGCACGTAAGTTTGTAGGTACAACGGAGCATCTGTTGGTTGACAATGATAGCAACATTTAGAAAATTCAATGAGCCGAGCAAATACGGCGTGCGCATGCGCATACTTTTTAAAATGACAATGTAATTATATGCAAATATACAAACGCAAGTAAAATGTTCGTGGTTTCATCGAAACGGGGGATTTTCTGCATTTGCGGTTTATATGTTTTGTTATATCTAACTCGCCTGTTTCTTGCCATTGATATGTCATGAGGTGATCGAGAAAACGCACAGTCCTACGGACGTAAACAGATATTAATATCCATTATTGACAATATAAGATTTCGAGGTTTTGTTTTATAGTTTCGAATTTTGTAAATGCCTATGTGAGTGTATGTGTAAGATGCAATAAGGTGTAAGGTGTGGTAGCCAACCCGTTTGGAGCCTTGGGTCATGGCTAAAAGAGAGGAAGCTTCAGTGGAGCCACTCTAACTTATTCGGTTTAAGAGTCCGCTTGCAGCAAACGATTCGCTTTATAAACCTGTAAAAACGTTGCCAAGCGAGGCTATGCCCTGGGCTTGCGACTAGCCATGTAGAAACCAGCTCCAATAAAATAATGTATTACGCCTCGTAAGAAGTACGATGGACGGAATAAGGACAGAGCGAGTAGGTACTTGTGACAGTTATTACAGTGGCCATGTAAAGCGCACTTTCGGTGTAGGAGTTGTGCTGGGATAGAGACTCCGACGTCGAGTACTGGCATTCTCCCCAATGGATGAACGTCTCTCCGCAATCCGAATCAAAATGAAATTTTTTAACGCCACGCCCCTACGGAAGAGAAAGACAATGTGACCAAGGATGTCTTTTACGAGCGGCCCGAGCACACTTATATGCTTGCCGATTACAAAGCTAAGTTGGGAAAAGCAAGTATTTTTGGGGCAACAACCGAAAATTTAGTCTCTATAACGAAACATCTCCTCATGGTTTGAAGCCGACGTCGGCTTCGGCCGCACAAGACAATGAATGAAGGCACTTGGCTGTCCCTTGATCGAAAAACACAACTCCAGATCAATAATATTGTGATAGATGGAAGACATGTCTCTAGCGTTCTAGACCT